AGTTCATGATTCAGTGTTTGTTAGTATGTGCAAAGTAGCTTTGAAAATAAGGACATATCCTTCTTATACTATCCTATTTCAGGGTTGGAGAGGAGGATAAGGTGACTAGAGAGAGTAAGATACTGTTCTCAGTGGCTTGAAAGGCAGGAATCCTGATACATTTTTCCATAAAGGGGCAACTAGGCATGTGCATGTATGATATACATGAGGAAAGCCATGCTGGGAGATTACAGTTAACTGCACTTAACCAGTTTCATGCTCCTCTTCAGAATAATCTCCCATCCCAGCTATTTTATGCAGCTCAGAAAGAAAGGCTCTCTGTGGTGGCAAGCCCAGGTCTAGAGGCCATCCACGTGTCGTTTGGGGCCAGAGGTGGCTTAGGGATTGTGCTGGTTTACCGTGCTCCCAGTGATCCAGCGTTGTTCCTGCTGGAGCTGGCAGATTTCATCTCCACAGCGTATATAAAATAAATATCAGCAAATATCCACAACCTGTGACGTCCAGTGAGGTGGACAGGGTGCTTGATCGCTGTCGTGCCACCACCTCCTCTTTAGACCCTTGTCTGGCCTGGCTCATCACAGAAGCCAAGCCGGTAACAACAGAATGGGCCACCACAACAATTAATGGGTCTCTCCAGGAGGGCCTGGTTTCCCCTGCTGTCAAGGAGACACTCATTAGGCCCATTAGAAAGAAACCTAATTTGGTGGTGGATAAATTAGGAATTATGGGCCCATCGGCAGTGTTTCTTTCATGAGTAAAATGGTTGAGAGGGTGGTGGCCGATTAGCTCCAGGCTCTCATGGAGGAAACTGATGCCCTTGAGATGTTCTAGTCAGGCTTCAGGCCGTGGCATGGTACGGAAACAGCATTGGTCGCCCTGCAGAATGACCTCCTGTTGGTCCTCCTCCATATCTCTGCCACCTTTGATACTGTTGATCATGGTATTCTCCTTGGGTTGCTCTCCGAGTTTGGAATTGGTGGCCCCACTTTGGTCATGACCTCCTGTTGGTCCTCCTCCATATCTGTGCCACCTTTGATACTGTTGACCATGGTACCCTCCTTGGGTTGCTCTCCGAGTTGGGAATTGATGGTCTCGCTTTGGTCCCCCAGGGCCGGAGGGAAAGAACAAGAAACCAGGCCTTTTCAGTGGTTGCTCCCTGCCTGTGGAACAACCTGCCTATTGAGATCTGCCTGGCACCCTTGCTGGATGGGTTCAAAAGAGCACTGAAGACCTGGCTCTTCTGCCAGGCTTCCCGGAGCACTAGGACCTTGCCCTCCCTTTTTACTATCATCTCCATCACCCTTTTTACCACCTTTATTGCCATCTGTTTTAATTTCCCTATTTGATATGTATTAATTTATTTTTATCATGTTTTTAATATTATGCCTTATATTGTTGTTAGCCGCCCAGAGTGGCATGGGTACCAGATGGTGTGGGATATAAATTCAAATAATAAATAAATAGAAAGTATCATGGATCCCTGATATTTAATGATTAGGACGGTGGTTCCCAACTTTGGGTCCCCAAATGTTCTTGAACTACTACTCCCAGAAATCCTGGCCAGCACAGCTTCTGGGAGATTTAGTCCAAGAACTTCTAGGAACCCAAGACTGGGAACCACTGATCTAGGAGACAAACGTGTGTGTGTGTGTGTGTGTGTGTGTGTGTGTGTGGTGTGTGTGTTGTGTGTGTGTGTGTGTGTGTGTGTGTGTGTGTGTGTGTGTGTACACACACACTGTATACACACATATATATACACACACACACATATATATATACACCCATCCTGTGGGAACCACAAGTCATGGAGCTAATATTTGTAGGAGGTTTCCCTCTTTCACCTGACTTTGTAATCGTTGAGGGCAAGAAGAGGGTGCTGCCAGAGGGTTCAGGCTAAGAAAATACTTTCACATTGGCTGGTAGGGAGCAGAATTGGAGGATGGAGCCAACAAAGTGAAGTTTTGAGGTTCTTTCATTCTCACTGTGAAACATAATAGTTGCTTGAAGCAGTCCAGGTACTCTTGATGTAGAAGTTCTTCTTGGGCTCATCCTCCATAGGGAATTCATCCTTCCCAACAGTGTAGTGAGAACACTGCCATCTAGAAGTAGGCCTGAACCTTTTGCAGGGAGTTAAAAATGGGAGCGACAAGTAGCGGAATTTGAAGGGAGATAAGGTGTCACGCCTTCCTACCCTTTGCTATTGAAGAGGCGTGGGGAGGAGAATTCAATAACGAGACTTTGCAATATTACTGTATTTTGTTTTGCAACAGGGTCAGAGTAGAAGGGGAACAGGCATAGAGCTGCCACTACCTCTACTTGGCCATAACATAATGGAAATTAAGCCTTCTTCCTCCAGTCTTTCCAGTTTTCTCATGGTGTCTGCTTTTTATTTTATAAGGTTTGTTATGCTGTGAGGAAATAACAATATTAAACATGATACCAGCTTGCTATGGTTACCTAAGCTTTCAAATTTTGTGGATAAAGCAGGATCTTTTGTTGACTGTATAATTCCTTTATTAAACCACTAGATGGAAACCCTTCCTTACCATTTAGGAACCAGAAAAATAACAACATCTACACTACTTGATTTGAGATCCCAGGGTTAAAATTACAGCATATTCAAAACTTTTCCAAGTGGAAGAAGAATTGTGGTGAGAAGCAGAAGTTGCTGCCCTCAGAATGCTTATTCTGAATTATTTTCATTTAAATAAACAGGGTTGCCATTCTTGGTCAACAACAATCCTGTTTTGACTTTATATTGGCTCTTTGCATTGTATTATCATAAATGTATATCGGCACAGTGTCTCTAGCCCTTTCAACTTGATCTCTGCCCATTTCTGTAATCTGTTTCCTGCATTTTCCTACAGTAGACACACACCAGGATAATTATTGTAAATAAGAAAATCCAGAGAGTTTTTTTTTGCTATGGAGCTGACCACGGGGGACTGCGTAGTGGCACATTACTACAAGTTATGTTTGCAGCATGCCCCACAACATGGTGCAAAAGTCTGGGTACATTAAAATAATATGTCTGATTTGCAGTGGGATGCCTACCCAGAAAACCCAGGACTGTAGACAACTCTGCGCTTGTCTACACAGTTTCTTTGGAGAGCTCTGGAGCTGGCTAAATAAGGTTGCTAGGAGGGAGCAGGAGTAAATCCATTTCTTCAGGTCATACGAACTGTAACTAATATAAAAGTAACTTTTTCCTTACATAAAAATCCAGGGTGGATTGCTTTCTGTAAGAAACAAAGGATATTTCTTTGTGTGCTTTCCAAATCCCTTTTAGCCTAATTTGGTTTTCATATCTTGCTTAGCTGCGATTTAATATTATGAGCTTTTTAAAATTATTAATTGCTACTCATCTTTAATCTAGTAGGTGAACCTAAGTCCAGTTCTGAAAGAAAGACAGAATTAATAGGAGATTAATGGTTTAGGTATCTGCAGAGCCAGAAGTTGGGAGTTTGATTCCCCACTGTGCCTTCTGGGAGCAGAGCCAGCCTCTGTGGCCTTAGGCAAGCTGCACAGTCCCAGGGTGTCCCCAGAAGAAGGAAATGGTGAACTATTTCTCAGTACTCTGTACCTGGAACACCCTGAAAAGGGTCTCCATAAGTCAGAATTGACTTGATGGCACAAGGCTGGTTTAAATTATGTACTGTACAGTGGTGCCTCACTTGACGACGTTAATTCATTCCAGTGAAATCGCTGTAGAGTGAAAACGTTGTAAAGCAAAATAAAAAAGCCCATTGAAATGCATTGAAAACCGTTCAATGCGTTCCAATGGGCTGAATACCTGCTCGCCCAGCGAAGATCCTCCATACGGCGGCCATTTTCGGGTGCCTGTCTTGCGAAAAATGCCTCCTAAAAAAAGCGGGGAGCCATTTTGAGCAGCCAGTGGCCATTTTGAAAACCCGACAATCAGCTGTTTTGATCATCATAATGCGAAGAATCGGTTCCCAAAGCAGGGAACCGATTGTCGCAAAGCAAAAAATCCCCATTAAAACATCATTTTGTGATCGCAAAAACATTGTAGTGAAGTGGATTTGTCGTTATATGGGGTAATCGTTAAGCGGGGCACGACTGTACACAGGCTTTCTTCAAATTTTTGCATGGATTAAGTAGGGCAGAATGCTATGGGACAAATCTGCTGTGCCTGCCGTGAGCAGTGATGTTGCATTTGCAGCCACTGCCTTGCTGCACTAATGTTGTTAAGCCCCCATCTAAAGAAGCATGACTTGGATGGCTGAATTTTTACGACAGAAGATACCCTGCCAAAAGCAATCCCCTTCCAGCTTTGGCTGGGGCAGAATTTCCCTTCATGCAGCCTCACAGTTTTCTGTTTTGAACGAATAACATTTTTATCTCAGCAGTACATATCCCCACGTTTGGTTGAAACATTTTGATGATCACCATTAAAGAATTCTTCCTCCTCTGTTATCTTTATTCTAGCATCTGTGCAAGATAATGTTCTAGTAGGAAATTGGTTTTGCAAGCAGGCAAGAATCCAAAATTACTTAGCTCCAAAACTAGATTTTATTAATGCATAAACACATGAAACAAAGTGGTTTTCAGAATCTTTGTCTGGAGCTAACAGGAGAGAATGTTTTCCAAAATGAAACAGCTAAGGATGGGGTTGGAAAGCTTTATCTTAATATAGTAAACACAGGACAGCTGACTTGCAGTTAAATGACCAAAACAAGTAGATGCTTGTTTTAATAGGTGCACATTGGAAAATTTTAAGATTTTCTGTACAGAAAAGAAAGGAAGCATTAGGGGGTCAAGTAGCAATCAATGATTCACGATTGTGATGTCATACCTGCTCATGCTATATTATCAAATTCTAATGTAATACTGAAAATTAAAACCAGAAGTAAGAGGCATTGTATAGCATTGTTCACAATGAACCTGCTTTCTTAAATCCAGATTCTTTGCATATTTTACCTGAGATTTCATCTTAAGACCAAGGCAGGGGTGGGGAATCAAAATTAAGGTTTTTTAAAAAAAATCATTTATAAAAGACTTCATGCAGAGTATGTAATAGTAGTCTAAAAGAGAAGAAATTAAGGCATGAATCATTGTCGCCAGACCCCTCCCTTTTTCCCACAAGAGCTGATGTTGGTCAATCAGAAAAATCTGCCATAAACTAAAAGAGGTGAACCACTAAAAGAAGACTAGCAATGAAACAGTCTGGATGCTTTGTAAAAAATGACTTACAACAGCATTTCTGATTTTGTATTGATTGAGTGGGCTAGCATGAAAGTACTCTTAGGGCTGCCCAGACTGGCTGTTTTGGGTGTGGGATGGCTCAGTCTACAAAGGGCTGATGAGGTTTGGGGGTGTGTGGAGCGATGTGCTATTTTGCATGCTCCTCCCTTCTGAACAGCAAATGATTCCTTGCAGCCCAATCAGCTGTCAAATAAGGAGGGGAAGAGAAAAGAGGAAGAAAGGGGGGAATGGGGAGGTTAAAGGGTCTGGGACAGAAAAAAGCAAGATGGGGAGAGCAAAGAGGATGTTCAAGAACACAAAGAGGATGGTATTTGGATGGGGAAGGAAATGGAAATTGATGGGAGGAGAGAAGATGGAAGAGCAGCCACAAGAAGGCAAAGAGAATCAAAACAGCAAGTGAAACTGCCAGGAGAGAAGGACGGACAGACTGGAGGGGAAATTTTAAAAAGGCAGAACTGTGAAAGAAAGGAGGAAAGAGAAAAAAGATGAAGAGAAAGGGGAAAGGAAGCTGAAAGGCAGAGCACAGGGAGCAAACCTGTGGTACATGCAGAGGTCACTGGCTCTTGCTTAATCTCTCACCCACTTGTAGCACATTACCATGGAGTCTGCCTCCAGGAGGTGGATAACACTCCGGAAAGAGACCCCTTTGTGATAGCAGCATTGGCTGGGGCCCTCAGAGCCACCAGGGGAGTACAACCAGGCACTTCCTTTGATTGTCTGCATGCCAGAAAGAGTGTGTGCCCTACTGCTGAGCCAGAAAGGAGTGAGACAGCTCTTAAAGGGGAAGGATGGCTTGATCTAAGTAGAAGTGGACACAGTCATTTCTTTTGATCTAAACTGTGTCCTCAGCATGCTATATATCATATTTATATGCCAGTGTGGATAGGCCCTTAGTATTTCACCCAAATTCTTTAAAGCCTCGCTTGGGAAGAAAGGCTGGACACTACTTGCTTCCTTTACATCAGATGTTCTCATTTTCATCTAGCAAAAGAACTAGGACTTAGAAGATGCAGATTTCATCCTCTGCAGGACTACTCAGAAGAAAGGATGTGCATATTTTGTTCTTGTAAATATTTGTATATTTTTCCCTTGTTCAAAAAGGTTTCATCTTGCTGACCAAGATTACAGGAGTTTTTCTGCCTCCCCACCCCATATTTTGGCATCTTATGAAAATTTCACAAAAGTTTTTTTTCCCCCAAAGAAATCTTGCATATAGCAGAAAAAATCTGGTTCCACTAAGATTTTATTTGGCACCATCATTTGCCAAAGCACTGGATTTCAAATGCAGTCTAAGTCTTATTGTGAATCTTTTCCCCACCCCACCATTTCCACAACCTCCATTTTCTTTATTGGTTTGTTGCTCAAAATTTCTCTGAAAAACCAGGGGGCTGCCCAGTTTTTAGTCCACAGAAGAGACTGTCTACATGCAGTCAGGTTAGCAATCCAAGCTAATCCCAGGTTAAATGGAGCTTCAACAGGACAGATGGAGCTATTTATTTATTCATTTATTTATTGCATTTATATGCAGCCCATCTAGACATAGTCCACTCTGGACGTACTGAGCTATGGAAGCCAGGAGTTCCCTGAAGTCACTGGAAACATCATCACATCTATTTGGTTTTGTGGAAAGGCTAGGCAAACCCTGCTGAGATCCCCTTCTAGTCCAATATTCAAAACTACTTTCTGCTAAGAATGTTCTTCTGTAGGATACGAAGCCTTGACATCACCACATCCCAATCAGCGTAGGCTCCTTCAAGGTGACGGGACACTTCTGTTCCTGCCTGATAACTCTGCCGGCCATGAAGCAAACGCCAATTGTCAAATACAACTACATCACCTACAAAGAGTGGCAAGCATGCATACAGTTACCAAAAATGTGACAAAACAGAAGAAACAATTGATAACAGCATTTTGAATCAGCAGAACTCCTGTAAATATCTTCTCTATACAGAAGTGATTTGAACGCTCTGATATGGCACAACTTATAGTGTGATGGAGATGCATCATGCCCTTAACCAGAGTTCAGAAACAGTTGTTTTGTTTATGTGATATACCCAGATTATACAATTTCTGGGTATACCACTGTCTTTTCTAAATGCAGAATTTGAGTTAGCTTTGCATACACTATATGACTATGTTTTTAAAACACAAGGCTCAGTACTGAGCGCTTAAGATTTGTCAGTGCAAATACTGGGAAAATTTGTGTCAGATCTACTTATCTATGAGTGTATATATCGTGAAATGAGTCATAATAAAACCAGCGACAGAATGCATTTCCAGAAAAACAAAATCTGTGTTTAGGAGATAGGAGGTGTTTACATCAGACTTTCCCTCCTCCAAAATTAAAAAGGCCTGATTGCTCAAAATCCTGTTGCTTAGAATAATTTGGGGGCATATGCATGCAATGTGCATATACAACATGAGAACTGTGGCAGGGAAGATTTGTTTACTGCAAATAATGGAGTGAAAATTTTCATTTGGTTTACACTAAGCAACAGTATTTCAGCCACTATAAAGCACAAGAGAACCATTTATTTTTGAAAGCATTTTGATCAATGAAGCAGTTATTTTACTTACCTGGTTTCATTTTGTAGGTATATTTATTATCCAGACTGTTTAAGAGGTCAACATAATCCTTGAGAGCAGCATAAAATGGCTTTACATTTTCAGCTGGTATGTCAAATATTGTATCCCTTGTTGCATTATTCAAGTTGATACGAACCACTTGGCCTTTTTCATCTACACTGTTGGGAAACAGAATAGAATTTGTTACCCCTCACACACAAGCCTGTTGACTATGCTGGTGTATGAAAACAGATTTCTGTTGTTTCAAACTGTTTAATTGATTGAGGCCCTTATAAGAATAAGGCAAGTCAGAGCTTCATGTATTTCTTCACAAACAGGATGGAAAGAGTTTGGGATGTTAAAATGATTCAAATGTGGGACAAAAGAAAACTGAATGCTTAACTCTTAAAAGTCTTGGTTTTGACTTGCTGTGTATTCTATGCTCGTGGTGCTGGATTAGAGTTGCCAAAGCTTTCTGTTCCCAACATAACTTTAATACCTACAATGCAAACAGGTATGACATGGTCCTCTTCGAATGAGCATAACTATACCTATTGCATTTGGCCAGTTCAAATGGCTGAGAATTTGGTTTGGTTAGGTTTTGATCAAATTTAATGAAAATTGACACATCTCTCCATAAATGGAAGAACTTGAGATTTTTTTAAAATGTGAAAAGGGACAATCCTGGCCATCCCTATTATTCTTCATTAAACTGTAAAATATTTTTTTAATGGCATCACTAACAGAAAGCAGAGTTTAACACAGAATGACAAATCTGTTCGTACAAAAACCAAAATGACAAAAGAACATATGACAATATAGTAAACCTAATCCACATACACATTTTAAAAAGTTGATTCTTTTCTCTTGCCCACAAGATGGCAGGCATAGACCAGTTTCTTTGTGTTAGGTCAGAAAGATATTTGCTGCCTGTAATTCAGGATTAAAAAACTAGACAGCGCTATCAGCACAGGATAAATCGATACTCAGATCCATCGTTGCTACTTACTCTATAATTCTTTGTTTGGACTGCATGAAGAAATCACAGTAATCAACCCCAATGTCTGTGAAGTCCACATATGTGGAGGTCAGAATTTGGAAGGCTTGAGGGTTTTGTTCCTTAAGCTTATTTGCTACATAAAATCCATCCACAACCTCGCTTTCTCCTCCGGTAGGAGTTTGCTTTATGCAGTGCAGTAACTGAATCTGCAACAAATTAATACTAAGTTACAAAAAGGAGCATCATTATTCATAATATAATACAAATAATAATTTTACAACTGCAAAGCTGGAAGGGACCCTATGGATCACTGAGTCCAGACTCTATCCAGGAGGCATAGTGGGGAATCCAACTCCTCACCTCTAGCTCCACAGCTTGCCTTCCTCGACCCATCAACCTCCAGATATATCAGATAACAACTTCCATGACCACGGCAAGGGATCTTGGGAGTTGTATTCTTACACATGTGAGGTAAAGTTAGGAAGGTTATATAAGGCATATTCGTGATGAGTTTTTTTTAAAAAAAAACCCTAAACACAGTAGCATTACATTAAGTCAGGTGGAGATAATGGTTCTTCTAGGCCAGCTGTGAGAAACCCCACATCTTAAATGTGCCTCTACAATAATCCATGGATGTTCTATTGCATACCCTGCAACCTACTGATCTTCTCTTTGGTGGACAGGAGGAGCATGGTTTACTTAGCACATGAGAAAAGTCATTATCACACAACCATCTCCCCATATAAATCTTATTATTCTCATTTTACTTAACAAATCCTTAGGGGGGGTTGTGGGAAGCACAGTCTACATGGGGAAGAGAGCATACCACAGATTCAACCTGCTTCCCATCATAGACCTATCTGAGACATGAGGATGATGGCCACTGTCACCTTTGCACACACTCACCACAGGTAGACAAGTACATGGCCCCAATCATTGCTTCATATGGTCCTTGAGAGCAAAAGGGTTGTTGACCCCCTTAACCAGTCTGTATCTCCCAAAATTTAAACTCTTTTTTTAAAAGTGAAATTGGCTAGAAAAGGTAGTAGTAAGGCATATGAGTGCACATGTACACTGTACATGCATGGATGAACCATTTTAAAGAGTTTTAGATCCTGTGGGGCTGCCCCTACTGTTCCTTCCCTTTCTCAGTCTGACCGAAAGTGACCGGAGGTTGGAGGAATGGGGTCTACAGGAAGATAATGCCATCTGTATGGTTCCCAATGTCATAAGATGCTGCTGTGAGTATTTGCTGTGGTGTGCAAAGGTGTGGCAATGATTTATCTACAGTTTTCAGTTTTCCTAGTGCACCTGGTTGCTCTGAGGACACTACTGAACATTAATAAAAGCCTATCATGGTGCTAACAGTCCTGTTCATCTGTCCTCTACCCATTCTGGTAGGCATAAAAAAATAAGCTGAAGGGGCTCATGCTGAGGTACAGTGGTACAGTCTTGAATTCTGCCAAGCCAGTTTAGAACCTAGATGATATTGCAAACTGGCCTCAGGACATTTGCAGAGCTTGGAAGCATTACTGAGCATGATAGTTCAGAAATTCTGGGAGCTGTTGATCTGACAGATTCCAACCCCTTAGACAATTATAAGTAGGAATGTGGACAAGCAACAAAATTCAGATCTGGAATTTGGAATTACAGCCCTTCAGATTTAGAACTCAGAATTTTAATAATTTGGAATTCCCAGATATGTAGAACTCTATTACAGTCAATACAAATACTGTAATCTTTGCTATCCTTCTGCAAGCAGGCAAGGACCTTTCTCTTCACGTAAGCCTTCCCTCAGTAAACCAGCTGTAACCTGTGAGCGATTTTTAGATAGATTGTTATACCTTATTGCTTTGACTGAAAATTTAGTACTACTTATGTTTTCCATTTTCATTTTTCATTTCCCAGAGTGACTTTTTTGTATATCTATTGATCTGTGCCTCAATATTGCCTGTTAATGTTATAAGATGCCTCCTTATTCATTGTTTGTAGTTTTAAATATTATCTTTTAATGATGTTAACTACCATTTATATACTGATTGTTTTCAACTGTAATTATTGTCTTTGATTGTAAGCCATATTGGCTATTTTTTCAAGGAGAAATGTGGAGTGAAAATATTTTTACAACAACAACAATAGTAACAGTATATTGTCAAGTCAATTCTGACTTATAATGACTTATCATCAAACGAGGAATATTTCAAGGGGATTCATTGTCACCACTGCTGTTTATATCTCACTAATTCCCATGTCAATAATCATAAATTAAACTGGATTGGGCTATCATTTTTCAGAACAAGCAGGAAAAATCAATAACCTCTTATGACCTGAAACTATATTCAAAAATATCCACAGAGATAGAATCACTGCTAAACACAGTGCAGATATTTAGTGAAGATATCCAAACAAAATATGGAATTGGCAAATGTGCAGCTCTGTCTATACACCGTGGCAAGATCCAAAAACTAGCTGGAATAAAGTTTAAAAATGGCAATATTATAAAATCACTATCAAGTGATGAAAATTATAACTACCTTGGAATACTAGAAGCAGATAACATCATGCACACAAAAGTTAAAGAACTGACAGAAAAGGAACATATCGAAAGACTACGGAAAATCTTAAATACAAAATTAAATGGGCAAAATACAATCAAAGCTATAAACACGTGGGCAGTTCCAATAATTAGATACCCAGCTGGAATAATTGATTGGACTCAAAATGAATTAGAAGAATTGGATTGGAAAACATGGAAACTAATGAACATGCATCACACACTACATCCAAAAAGGGGTGTGGACAGATTATATTTACCACAAAAAAATCAGAGGCTATGAATTACTGCAAATACAGGAAGCAGTAGAGGAAGAAAAAAGAAGTCTAAATTATTATATCAGTACAAGCAGAGAAAAAAATACTTAAGGTACTGAAATGGAGAATATTTTAAAAGCAAAAGGAACAAAGGGTCAGTATAAGAAACAACAATTTGAAAATATATTAGACAGCTGGAAAAATAAACCACTACATGGACAACACCTGAGAAATATTGATAGAAAGCATGATCATAATTCAACATGGACATGGCTAAAACTGGGGACCCTTAAAAGCAAAAAGCAAAGCGTGCTGCTTATATACCGCCCCATAGTGCTTCAAGCACTCTCTGGGCGGTTTACAATTTAATTATGCAGGCTACACATTAAGAAAGAAACAGAAGGCTTGATTTTTGCTGCACAAGAACAAGCACTCCAAACCAACATGATGAGAGCTAAGATCCAAGGAATTAGTGCTAACAACAAATGTCGACTCTGCCAAGAAAAATATGAAACTGTGTTACACGTCATCTGCGAACATCCAAAGATTGCACAGAATACAAAATTAGACATGACAGAGTGGCAATATGAGTGCACTGGTCATTATGCAAAAAACAGAACTTGCCGGCCTTTAAAAACCCATGGGACCATCAGGCAGAGAAAGTGTCAGAAAATGAGACAGTCAAGATCCTGTGGGATTTCCGGATCCAAACTGATAGATACCTTGAACATAGCACACCATATATAGCGGTAATAGAATGAAGAAATGTCTTGATCATTAATAGTGCAATTCCAGAGGATGCCAGAGTTGAAAAGAAACAACTGGAAAAACGAACAAAGTACAGAGACCTGACAATCGAAACATCTCGCTTGTGGATGAAGCACAGTTCAGTGGTCCCTGTAGTAATCGGGGCTTTGGAACCAATATCAAGAAATTTTACACAGTACTATAAGCAGTTGCAGATCTCAGAAATAACACCATCAGAGCTATAAAAATAGCAATATTAGGAACAGCACACATACTGCACCGATATTAATAATAATAATAAATTGTCAAGTCAACTTTGATTTATTATTACCCTTTCCAGGGTTTTCTAGGTACAGAATAAACATAAAAACCTTTGTGACAAAAGAATACCTCCTCCCACATGTAGTCTGAATATGGTAAGGAACCTCTGTTTTGCTGTTGGATAGCAAACAGTAATATGAGTTAGACACCAAGGGCATGCTGTTGGCTTTTAGAGAAGTTATTGCTGCTTAAAAAACCCCACCCCATATTCAACTGGTATATTATAAATGAATGAACAAATGTAACCAAGACATTACGCTCTTCTCAGAATGGTCAATTACATGCTGTTCAGAAGGAAACTGAGCATGTAAACCACTGGTTCTCAATCCTGGGTCCTGAAATGTTCTTGGATTACATCTCCCAGAAATCCTGCTCTGCACAGCTAGTGGTGAAGGCTTCTGTGAGTTTTAGTCCAAGAACATCTGGGGACCAAAGGTTACAAACCTCTGATGTAAATGACTGCCCTGGAACCTCTCATTATCTGTAACAGTAGAGAGAAGGAAACAATATCTTTGGGAGTGACTTCTTGCTCTTCTGGAAGATTGGAAAATATATTTTTTGGACTACAAGTCCAAGAACCCTGTAGTCATCTGTGGGAGTTGTAGTCCAAAAAAGGTGAATGGTTCCATCTCTGTCTATCCTATGCAAGAGGTTTTCATAAAACCATAAAAGACATAAAACTACATATAAACAATAGTATGTAATGGGAAAGAACATCTAGATGGTAAAGTGCTTCCAAGGTTTTTTTGAAACCCTTAAAAAAATTCCCTACAAGCATTGTAGAATTGAAGAAATTGTGAATAACGTCATATGGCAGAGTGTGATTCTTGGCACCAATGAGATAGTGAGCTAAGTTGCATTTGTTTCCCATTTGAGGAATACCCTTCCATTCTCATGCCATATCCACTTATACAGCATCTAAATGAATTTCCAAGGTAACACATTAGTCTGAAAGATTTGCTGGCACCCACTTAGCAGCACGTGATGCTGGCCTGCTTAGTTCATTAATAATATGATTGCCGCAGATCATGAGAACCGTGAGCAAAAGTTTCCTACCGCATCTGTGCTCACCACATTAATCTCCTGCCTTTACAAATGTAGGCAGAATGGCAGAAATTTTAGCACAGTGTCAGAAGTTCAGTATTACAGTATTGTACAGAAATGCAGTTCCGTGTTCTCCACTGAAACAGCTTTGTGCTTCTCAAGAAATAGATCTCTTCCTACAAAGAAGGCTAACTGGTAAGTTTGAGTTTTTCTTTGCCCACAGTATAATGACCACAGATACAACTCCGTGTTGCATTCCATTTGATGGAGATAGAATGTCTACATCAAACTTCTCCTCGGTGATTTCCACCATATGTTTGGACTGCAGAGTTTTAATAGGCAGTTAAATCTGGTGCATTTTTTTTAAATTTTGCAGTTAAGCAGTTAAATTTTGTGCATTTTTTGAAAAGCACAAACACAGGTTTTGCAAAAGGCAAATTCTCCCCGATACTAATAAAAAACATGGGAAGGTGAAGACAATATTTGTTTGCACTTTGTGGTGTACAAGTAGGTATGAGATAAGGAAGGGTTGCAGCACTAGTTCTGTCTGAAAGTGTTGTCAAACGATTCCATTTGTACCGTATAGGAATTGCTAAAAATTTATAAGAAGCAAAATATTGCATTTTTAATAATGCACAGCCAGTGTACATCAGTAGGAACTGGCAAGTACATGAAGGCTGACTCTAATGATCTCCCATTTTAGAATGCAGCTTTAATAAATTAAGGTATTATATATGCACACACACATGAACTTCATCCTGAACTTATAGGATATAAAGATAGGTTTTATCCACATATGAATAAATGTATGTTTCTGGTAAGAAAAATAATCATGGACAGTTTTCAGTTCTATTAATGCATCATCAGGCATCTACATTGTCTGCTACTTAATTTTACAGAAATATTGCTCCCTTCCTGCCATACCCCTTTCCGCTCCCCTTTGCTTTCTCTTACCCCAGGCGGAAACTGCAGAACTGGATAATCGGTGTGGAAACTTAGCTTCTCGGTTGTGTAGGCCACATTGTTAGCATCCACTTTGTCCTGTACTTGCCAAGTGGGCCTTTATAGTGAGCAAGACATAAAAAAGGAGAGGGAGATGAAGGGAGAAAATTATAACAATCTGACAAGAGTACTTAGAAAAATGGCTGTTTGTAAAATTACTACCCATGTAAGTCAGCATGGTCTCCCACTGCTCTAAAATGACTGTTTTAGACCCCTGGAATAAAAAGAATAAATTGTGCCATGAATGCCTTTGGTAAGAGCCTTGAATTCAAACATTTTTCAGTAAATGAAAGGGGTATACATAGCTCAGTGATATAACTCTCCTTTGTATTCAAAAGATCCCAGGTTCAATCCCTGGCATCTGCAGTTAGGACTGGAAAAGAACCCTTCCTGGAATCCTGGAATGATCATTGGCCTCATCAGATAGCTACACTATAGACTGTGTGTTTCAGTTGAGTATGATGGGGGTTGTAGTTCAACATTTCTGGAAGATGCTAGGTTGGTGAAGCCTACAACTGCTGTGAGGCAATGCAGAGCAGGAATAGCAGCTCATAGTTCTCCAGCTGTCAATGCACTGTGGTTGCCAAGAGTCATATCCAGCAAAACAAGGACTGAAACAATATGGGGTTCTAGTCCACAACCTCTGATGTCCACTTATGTGTGATCCATGCTAAGTCACATGACAAATGTGATTCTCTGTTAGGCAGTTTGCTGCTTTCTTGGGATCATGCAGGAAGACAGAGTGCTTCTTCTGATGCCATAGGACCCCATATCCCTTAAGGCAGTGGTCCCCAACCTTGGGCCTCCAGATGTTTTTGGACTACAACTCCCAGAAGCCTTCACCACCACCTCTGCTGGCAAGGATTTCTGGGAGTTGAAGTGCAAGAACATCTGGAGGCCCAAGGTTGGGGACCACTGCCTTAAGGGATTAGTTCCAACTCCATCCCTGTAGATGCTGAACAACATGAATTATAGTGAACACAATTTTAAAAGTGAAAGCTATACATAGCATGGTCTCTGGTTCCCTCTAGAGGCCAGTTCTGGTAACTTTAGAAATATGTATTTCTATGATTTTTTAAAAAAAATATTTTTAACATTTTCAGACTGTGGATAAGTAAATAAGCAGATACTGATCTTGCAGGTATGAGGCTCCCACTGTACTTCTAGAGATTCTCTTGTTCTCTTCATTCATTCATTCATTAGAAAGTCCATTTTATTGGTTTTGACAGCAAATGGAACAGAAGAAACAAAATCTTGCAAATAGCAGATGTTGGGTGGCGGTGGTGATAGAGATCTGGATCCCTGGGGGTGGAAAGATGGCTCTGACTCTGACAAGTTCTCCAAAACTGTTACTGGCACTGGCACAAACCTCCCACTGACACCAGTGTATAGGAGATTTCCATCCTATACAAACTGCAGCTTTGCAGAGGGAATTTTCATTAGCATCCCAGCAGGAGGCGGTGTTACTGTCTTGTAGTGGGCCCAGCTAAGGGCTGCTACTTACATGTATGCATTTAATGACAAATCTAGTCTGGCTTATAGAAGAGGAACATCCCATGCTGTTTTTAACCTTAAACTACAAGTAACATCTTAAAAACTAAAAACCCGATTAACACTGCATCATTTTCATCAATCAAAATGTGTGGGTTTTTTTTAATGGATTAATCTAACTAACTGATGAAAGATTGTCACCCTAATGATTATAATAAGTAATTTTGGATCCTTTTCTGTTTCTGCTCTTTCATTTAAATTGTAGCTTTCTTCATGTAACGTTGATGAGCCTCTTCATGAAAACAAATTCCACCCTTCCCCTGCCTATTAAAGACTGGCTACACAGCTTGTATCCGTCCCTTCCTTTTATGTTTTTCAAGATGAATGAACTTGAATCCACAAGAGAGCTGTGTTGACAATGGAAACAAATTACACACTATAAAATGGTTGAAATACAACCACCCACAGAAGGCGATGCACTGCAGGGCAGTCAAAAGATGAAGCAGAGGCCAAGGCTGAAAACCACATGTCCCTGTTTCAATAACCTTTGTGCAGTGGGATGCAGCCACCAATGAAAAGACTAACACAGAGACCATGCATTGGTTTGGGAAAAGCCTCTTCCATGGGATGGATCCAGGTCCCAGGGATAAAAGGGCTTTGCTTATGCTGGCTCCCCATATTCAGGGATCTTGTGCCCCCCTTGCATCACAGGAACAGGGCCCATTGACACTCTGTACAGTATCTGAAGGACATGGAAGGACTCCTCTGGTGGTGATGATGATGGGAATCTGCTTCTGCCAATTCAGCAGCAAGTGTCCACATCTAGGATTCCATCTACTTTACTGTATAAAGTATAAACATGAAAGAAAGTTTTCTGGAAAGGATTTCAAAAATGTGGATGATATTTGCAAGAGTATTTCTTGGAGAATTCCATGAGATGATACAGGCACGTATGACAGACTCAAGGGAGTGTGAACTCAGTTCTGAAATATGACAACCTCAACCACATTTCCACAACGCTCAATTTGATACATATCATTCAGGCTTGGTGGTATATTTGGTCTCTCTAATTAAAAAGGATCAAAAGTAATTTACTGTTTCCAGGCAATTTCATCTCTGATTCTAAGAAATTATATTTAAATAGGAAGATAAAATTATACTATGTAAAGATGTAAGAAGGATCTTTTTATAAATGCTGTGTATTAATTATACATAGTTTTATCCAACAGAACATTACTTCCATGAGAGGAGATAAAAAATTAAAGGTACTCAGTCTGAAGATGAAGAATGGGCCATAAGTAAGAAGCAAGTAATCTAAAACAGTGATGCCTGTGGGAAAGGATGAAAGACACAGAAGCTGGCAAAAGAAGAACCATGGAAAACTGGAAGTGGTTTCTGACAGATAATCTTCAGACTAGAGGGATGGATCTTGTTAAGTAAGAGTGGGTGAAACCTCAAACTGGCATTGTGCAGGATAATTTGCCCACCAAATTTAGGAACTAAGTTTCTGCAGAATGTCCAGATACTGATCTGGATTACACCCAAAGCCAATGAACTTAATTCCAAAGGGGAGGGGAATAGCACATGCTTCACAAGCAAAAGGTGCCAGATTCAATCCCCAGCATTTCCAGGAAGGGTTATAAAATAAACTTGTTTTGAAGGCCTGGAAAGTCACTGTGTTGACACAACAGGACTAGATTGACTAATGGTGTAAGGCAGCTTCTTGTGTTTCTAAATGAGCACACAGAATTCTGCCACGAGAAATCAGATAGATGCACATTACAGCCTGCTTGGAGCCAGACCTAAGTACCAGCTGCTTGACTTGGCTGTTACCCGGAAAGCTATAATCAGGACTAACCTTCTGCCCCTCTCCCAAAACGACACTCTGGATTTGCTCTTGGGGTGCCAACTTTTGCTACTGATGTTATGTGGGCCCTATTCCATTTTCTCCAATAACTATAGTTGTGTCTACTATTTTCGTTCCTAGGGAGCTGGTCTTCCTTTTTCCCTTGACTGCTGTAAGTCCCTCATCTCATGTTTATGTTAAGATCAAAGACATCCCTCTCTTTGTGTGAGCAGCAAAGAGATCTTGCAGGAGTTACTCATATATTCCTGTTCTCATTATCACACAAATAAACTTGTTCTTAGATAACTAGCCCCAGATTTCTTTTGCAAATATGAGTTTATACTGACTCTTTTGAGAATCAGAAGCCCTTGGGTGTGTTTTCCTTCTGTTTACAATAATTGATGTAAACATGAAATAACATTTATGTACATCAAAAGATATGTATACAATAATGGATTTTTTAAGTTGTTTTTTTTTTAATTTTCATCTGCACGACTTTGTGTTACCATTGTGTTACTGGAAGAGGTTGAAAATGGTTTCATTAAACTCTAAACTTAATGGCATGATTTTCAAAGGTACACTGCTTCAGACACAGAGACACACAAATTTGCTGTTTTATTAAATTTGTTTAAAAGCTTTTCGGAGCTGAACAATAGCTAATTTTCTAAGAAGTGGTTCATAAAATTTTGACTGAGCGTCCCTGTAAGAAACAGATCATTTAAAAAAAAACTTAGGGACTCCTTATTCAGTTGTGGCTTTGGATTTGGTTAGTAATAATAGATGTTCAGATGCAGAATTGGTGAATAGGTTTTACTAAGCATCTTAATGGATGCTTTGTAAAAGGTTTATTATGAGCACACCCACCAAAAAAACAACAGGCTGAGCTCATTTGTTATGTATAGGAAGGGATATATATCTATCAAGGGATTTTGTCTGTTCTCCCTAAAAAGCCATTAAAACCAGTCATTTCCTGTCTCCCTGCCCTTTATCCCCAAATTTGCTACATGTTAACATACTTCTAAAACATACCAAATGATCTATGAAACAAAGACCTGCTGCAGATGCGCATTCACTCTCCTCAAATGGTAGGAGGCCTGGAAGCATTAGGCAGGAATTGGTCTCTCTTTTGTGACAGAGGTTTTGGTTAATATGCAAGTTACCAAATAGAGGAAGTAGACACACAATATGCATGTGAAGTGAAATTTTTTGCAATTTTGTGTATTTTTTATTGTTTTTTGGTTTTTTTCTGGTCTGTAAGTCAAATCTCAGTCTGCAAGTCAAACCTAAATTTTGCGGCTAAAGAAGTCTGTAACTCAAAAAGTCTGTAAGTCAAGCCGTCTGTAAGTGAAGGGTCCACTGTATGCATGTGAAGTACAATTTTTTGCAATTTTGTGTATTTTTTATTGTTTTATTGTTTTATTTTTTTGCTGTGGCATTCACTATCACATTCCTGAAGCATTTATTAGCAAGTCACTGACTAAAGGAACTCCTTTATTCATTCTCAGCCACAGAGTTGACTACTTGGACGGACCTATTTCCCCCTTCCGCACCCACTCCACATTCACTGTGCTGTGCTTAGCCAGTGCTGCATAAACAAATACAGCTTCCATGTGGCCTTGTACGAAAACATAATCAGAGGGAAATAAATCATTGCTGCTTCTGTGTTCTAATCTGGAAAGAATGCCAATCTTCAAGCCAAGCTTTGGAATGATTTGTTTCTTTCTCCAATTCATTTTAAATAGTTTCAGGCAAAGAAGAGTTTTCCTTTAGTTTCCCACATTGTTTTGAACAGAGGTGCTCAAAATAGAAGGGACATTTAGCTGTGATGGTTATTATCTGAAGTAAGAGAGGGAAAAACCATTAAGAGACTTTATTGGCTGGGAAGCCCAGGAAGTTTTCAGACCAAGGCAGCACCTATAGCTGATGGAAATAGCATCATTCTAGAAGGTGACATTTTAATTTGAGATGTCTTCCGTGCTTCTTCTTCTTCTTCAAGTCACAGGAGATAACCATTGAGCAGAACTGGTTGTGTCTTTTGTACAAATATGGTTGTACAAATGGCTGTTCTAATGTATGAGCTGCAACAAAAAGTCCAGAATGACTTTGGGATTTATGCACAGTCTGGTGCAAGCAGGAGATACCTGTGTGGGGGATCAGTCCAAGCATTTATTAATCAGAATTGGGAAGGAAGAAGAAAGAACAGCAAGAAAAGCTACCTGGAACCTCACAAAGAATACCTTTTTGACAAGAAGGGAGACAAAGCAACAGAATAGGCTTTACAAGGGTAGTCCTGGACTTTGAAGCTTCAATTATGTTGGATCAGCTTGACTGATGGACTGTGTACTGACACATGAGTCTGGCCAGACTATGCAATCAATGACTGTGATGCTGATTTCCAATTAATCCACAAGCGATGTTAAGTTGATGGTCCTTCCACTGCAAGGATGTCTGATATCCCAACACCTTGAGGCATGCATTTGAAAGTACCTCTGAACTGGCTGGAAAACTTTCATTTCACTTAAATTTTCTGTAGTTGTTTTACCATCAGCAACATTAATCAGCATTAACGAATGCTTCTTCACCAAGAGCAGCAATGATGCCTGTGATCCCCAGTTACAAAGCGGGTTACACGGCTGGCAAGAACAAGAATACGTAAACTTTTTAACTCACCCATAGAATGTCAGGCGAAGGAATCCAAGCCGTTGCCCAAGTTTAAGCAGCTCTCCCTGTGTACTGGCAGCTCCTGTCAATAGCACAATCCCCACCTTTTTAAGGGTGACCAGCCACTTGTATGCACTTTCATCACTATGCAACACCTCTTCAAAGGTCATAGTTGGGAGCTGAAGATCAGAACCCCAGTACTGACATTCTGTAAAAATCATAAATATATTAAAATGTATGAATAGGTATAAATCACTCAAGACTACAGTGGTGCTTCACTTAGTGAGGTTAATCCATTCTGGGAAAAACACTGCTAAGTGAAAACATTGCTAAGCGAAATTAAAAAGCCCGTAGAAACGCATTAAAACGCGATTAATGCGTTCCTATGGGCTTAAAACCTCACCTTTAAGCGAAAATCCTCCATAGTGTTGCCATTTTCGCTGCCTCTTAAGTGAGGAAAAACAGCGGGTGGCCATTCTGTTTTCCCGGCAGCCATTTTGAAACCCACAATCAGTTGTTAAAAAAGGGTCGCTTTGCTATGATTGCTTCCCCGCGATCATCGCAAAGTGAAAAAACCCCATAGGGACCATTGCAAAGCGATCACTTTTGCGATCGCAAAAACTCCGTTGCTAAGCGATTTCGTCGCTCAACGGAGTGATCGCTATGCGAGGCACCACTGTATTTATTTCAGAATTCAACAGAATCTGAACAGAATTCTGAACAGATGCCTTCTTCTCAGGCCTATGCTGATGACTGCCAAGGCTAGCCCTGATATTGGTCAGACTAAGCAAACTGCAGCAGCTGCAGTGTCATATTGAGCGGGTAGAGCTGTGTGCACCATGCAACATGCCTTGCATCTCTTACGCTAGGTCAGTGGTTCTTAACCTTTGTTACTCGGTTGTTTTTGAACTGCAACTCCCAGAAACCCCAGCCAGCACAGTTGGTGGTGAAGGCTTCTGGGAGTTGCAGTCCAAAACTCCTGAGTAACCCAAGGTTAAGAACCAGTGAGTTAGGTGACTGCTCCCAGATGTGGATGACACTGTCTCACTGAGAGGACTCAATTGTCAATCTTGCCAGCTTTTGCTTATGGAGTAGCAGAAGGTGCCACTATATCTTTCCCCATTACTACCACAATGCCCACAAAACATGACTATACTAGGAGCTTCTAGGAGTTGCAGGCCAAAAATAAGTAACTAAGCTCTGACCTGATTTAACATTCAAAGTGTCTTTATGTGACTGTGATCACTATTATTTCAAAGGAAGACCTATAGGATCAGAGTGTGCAGCAGAGTTCGGAAGAACAACTTTTGAGACAAAATGTGTAAGTGGCACTTTTCCACAACCAAGTTTTCCTCAATGTGGCCTTGCTCCATTTCCTGAGCTGTTTATTCAGGGTAGGCAATGGTGTACAACTAGCACAAGAAAATATATTTGCCAAATCACATGATCTAAGTATGATCCAGTATGATGCTAAGCCAAATAAAATTACAGGAATGCATGTTAATTTAAACCAGAGCTTATTCACTTATTTTTGACTTGCAACTCCTACAAGCTCCTGGCATGGTCAAGCTTCATGGGCATGATGGTAACTCATGGGCATTATGATATCAAGGCACTGGCCACTACAAATATGATCCACTGACCACTCAGCCACGGTACCTTGGCTTTTCCTGATGTGGACACTTTCCAGGTGGATACAGTGTACTACTGGTTGGGAAAACCTTCTTGTGTGACAACCTTCCCAACACTGCTGAGGAAAAGAAATTGATTCATTTGAAATATAGTCCTGGAGGAGTTTTATAGATACCCTGGACTGCGAGAAAGACATACAAGTGGGTCCTAGAGCAAATCAGGTCTGAACTTTGCCTACCCAGACCAGAATAAAGAGAAGAGAAACTAGGACCACAACTTTATTAAACTACTTAAACTTTTAATTGCCCTTTTACAAGGGGGCCTACTGTAGTGCGAAATTATCATCTGACCCCAGTGTACCATTTACAATTGGAGCAGGCCACCAAGAGCGAGTTCCAATTGCTGAAGCGTGCTGCCTCTGACTAGCACATCTTCAGCTGCCCATCTGCAGGAATCCTCCCATGGCTTCCCCACAACTTTATTAAACTACTTAAACTTTTAATTGCCCTTTTACAAGGGGGCCTACTGTAGTGCGAAATTATCATCTGACCCCAGTGTACCATTTACAATTGGAGCAGGCCACCAAGAGCGAGTTCCAATTGCTGAAGCGTGCTGCCTCTGACTAGCACATCTTCAGCCGCCCATCTGCAGGAATCCTCCCACGGCTTCAGTCACCAAGCCTCAAAACCCTAGGTGCACTGCTGCCTGGGAGATTCCTTTAACTCCATTCCCCTTCATATACTCCTTGTTCTACCAATCAGGGAAATGGGCTGATTGACACCGTCCTCAGGTGTCCCAAGGGAACTCACCAAATCTCATCTTTTGCACTACCTGCAGCTGCGACCCAAGTACTGTGTCTTCCTCACATTACCAAAACACCTGAAGTAAGAATGGGATGGGCGAAAACTCGCCTGCCTCCTGATGCATGCCACAGTTGTGCTTGGTGGGGACACAGAAGAGAGCCTTCTCTGTCACTACGCCCAGATTCTGGAACTCCCTCTCATGGGAAGCCAGGCTGACCCCATTTTTCTTCCAAAGGCAGGCAAAGACATTTCTCTTCATGCAGGATTTTCCTTAATAACTGGTGGTCTGAGAGGGGGTTTAAATGGATTGTTGTGCCCTGTTGTTTTAAACATGTTTTAATATTGATCTTAGTTACCAATTTAATAAAAATACTTGTTTTATTTGTTAATATTGATCTTAGTTACCAATTTAATATAATACTTGTTTTATTTGTTCTAAATATTTATATGTTTACTGTTTTTAGCTTTGAAATGCATGATGTAAGCTGGCTTGGGTACTTTTGGGGAGAAAGTCATGATAGAAATATTGTAAATAATTAAAAAAATTAATTCATTGGGTCAACATAATTCAGAGGTGACTTGACAACGGCAAGAAAGGACCACTGATTCAGGACATGGTTTAGTTTACTTTCAACAATAATCTATAGTTACTTGTCTGTGCGTGCAGGTTCATAATGGTAATTTATCGTCTCAGGGTCTAGCTACTAATGAATTATGAAAGAAAGGAAAAATGATGTCATTGAGAATAATAATGATAATCAGTAAATAAAATAGCAGTTGCATTAAAAAAATGCAGAAGCCCACAGAAACAAATAGATTAAATCAGAGTACTCACACAGTGTGTGCTAACCCATGTGTACGTATGGATGCCAAAAGCAAACTGATTCCTTTGGAATTGTTCTCTTTTCTATTTTAGAATAAATGCAGTCAGTTAAATGAAACAGTAATCTAGGAATAAAGAGTGGGTTGTCCTATAACAGCTGAGGAAAAGGAGAAGGGAATGTTGTCTTGTGCATGTAACAGAATCTAAAGTCAGAAACTTTGATGAGTGATATTTTTGTGATGCACAAAGATAGGAAAATAAAAGGAAAATTGTGGCATTTGTAGTTCAGTTATGAGGAAAAAGAGTTATTTTAACAAAGGGGTAGCAAGCTGGATAAATAAGTACCACCATGGTGGGAAGGTAACAGTGTTCCATGTCTAGTCATGCTGGCCACGTGACAACGGAAACTGTCTACGGACAAACACTGGCTCTACGGCTTGGAGACGGGGATGAGAACCGCCCCAGACAGTCGGACACGACTGGACTAAACATCAAGGGGAACCTTTACCTTTACCTAACAAGCTGGAAGGAAAGTTATTTCATTTTCTGCTTTCCGTAAACAAATATAAGAATGGGGTGTTTGGCTGAAAAAGAATGTTTTCTTCAGGGCATAACTTTGCTTCCTTCTAGGCATCACCACTAATTGTTCAGCTCATGTTTTCTTTTCAAGTTCAAACAATATTTCCAACATCCCTGTAAGTTTCAATTCTTGTCAGATGGGATGTGTGCTGATGTGGAACGAGATGTACATGGCTACTGCAAAACAAAACAAACAACCCCTCCCACCCCAAAAAAACTTTGCAAAACAGGTATATATTATTCAGTACCAGTTTTTAATTATCTAATACATAAAGGCAATGGATTACAACAATTCAAAAGAGATCAAGTATTCTCATATTTAACTTGAATCTTTTTCCCAGTCTCAAGGGAAATTTTTAAGAAAATTGCTATTTTGGCAGCAAGATGCCACATTTCTCATTTGGGGGACACATTTTTAAGGGAGGAAATATTGAAAATGGAAATGCAGTGTCTCTGGTTCTACCACAGGTAGTTTATTACAAATGTTTTATCCAGTAATTGTAGGAGAGTGTAGAGAGTTCATGTAATATGCATTATGTAGGGCTGAACCGTACAGCTTCCAAGATATGGTTGAATAGAAGCCTCTGTCATTCCTTACTATGGGCCATGCTGACAAGGGCTGATGGAAGCTTTTGCACCACAGTTGTTAACTGTATGGTGTGACCACTCCCACTGCTGGGACTGACCAAGTGCAGGTGTGATCCAACAGTTTGCATAAGGGCACAATTCATAACTGGTAAAGCAGTATTGGTATCTAGGGACTGACAGATAACATTTTCCAAGGAAGTAGCTGTATTACTCTTTTGCAGCAGAACTGCAAGTCCCATTGCATCTTAAAGGCATACACATTTATTATAGCTTAAGCTTTCATGGACAATGTGTAATGAAAAAATGGGTATGATAAATGGGCCAGTCATTAAAGTGCTGTAGACCCCATTTTGTGGACCTGTTTTGATTTAGTTAGACCCAAGGCTACGTCTTGGTGGGTTTCTTCCAACTTTACTCCTTCTTACTAACTTTTTGGGATGCCAAACATAATAATGTCTTCAGAGTGTACAGGTACCATTTCAGTTTAGAGTTAGGATAGGAATGTGGAGTCTCTTTGTGTAACTGGATATTTCAGTAACTGGAATATGATTTTGTCACATGAACCAAGGTGCTTTCATACCTCATCAGCTGGTACTGTACAAGTGTACAAGACCTTTTGAGATTGAATTCGTGATTTGGAACTGGAATAACTTCAATATGAGGAACAGGCACAATTCTGAGGACTTTCCCACTTTGAAGCAAAGATAAACAGGCAGTGGGCAAGCAAAAGTGTGTATAAAATTACCAGTATGTACCATTTAAACAAGTGAATAGGAAGAAATT